GCTCGTTTGTCTGTTGCATTGGTGCGGGCTGCTAGCCTGTGTTTGAGGGGCGGGAGGCAGTCATGGCGTGGTGTTGGGGCGATGGACGGGGCTGGGGTGTTCTCATCGGATGAGTGAGCGTGCCCTTTGTGCATGGGCATATGTGGATAGATTCATGGAGGCGATTTGGACAAGCGAGTGCATGGATGCCATCTGTCAATTATCTCTTCCCATCTCATCTCACCTCTTATTTAGGCTTGCGGAAACTTTTCAAAAAGTTCCATGAGAAGTGGACGGAGACACTGGGCGCCACGCCAATGGAAAAAACGCTCTAGTGTATCCACTCAAGCGGAGTGCCCGAGTGCTGCTGTATTCCTTGCAGGATCTTTCGCTTCTGATCAGCCCATGTTGCTGTCTCGCTTTGTCTTCCATTCCCTCATCTTTGACTCCTCCATTACCTCCATTGGTGAGCAGAATGAATGAACCCGCATTTATGCTTGGTGCACATTCCTTTGGGCCTTATGTTGTTTAGCATCACTGTGCTCCGATGTCATCCTCACTGGGCTTCACAACGAGAGCAAATACCTTGCCATTCCTATCTCGGCCTCCTCGGCTTCGAGCAGAAGTAAATATGAGCAGGTATGACTGAATTAGGGCCGTCATCGCTTGAGTCCGTAAGTTCTATACTTGCTACGATGCCTTTCTAGATGCTGCAGTGTGTAATGACATGATATATCCGAGTCTTTTTTTCTTTGTTCCATTTTTCTGATGACAATAGTAGACTGAACTGATGATAGCATTAGTGACCGCTGTTAGTATCCCATTCGGCTTGTCGAGGCAGCTATTGCATTTCTTGCTTAGTTTGAATGACATAGCCAGATGAAAAAGCAGTGTAGCATAAAGAATGTGTCTTCTTCATTAAGATAGTTCTCATGCTCTAATCTATAAAAATGAAAAGCACGACCAGCACCCTCACTTGTAAAAATCGGGTGGACTGGATGGAGATAGCAACCACACACCCACTCACAGTCTCCCCGGCGGCTTGCGCACACTCTCATACACGATCATGCTCACTTCATCACCTCAGATGTAGCTGGCGATGGTGAGCTGCTTGCCGTCGAAGCCGTCCTCGCAGTAGTCGGTTAGCGTGAAGCCGTTCCGGAGGAAGTCGGGGCTGTTTTTCAGCTTCTTCTGGTACGCCTTCTTCAGCTCGGTCGCCTTGTCGTTGTACTGCGTGAGCACGCGCAGCAGCGGACTTTTATCGCCCAGTTTCTTCAGGTCCTCCAGCTCCGAGGTCATCACGAATCGCTTGGGCTCCATGCCCACGATGGTACCCAGGCCACCGGAAAGGAGGCTGAGGTCTGCGCGGTCCCACTTGCTGCTCTGGATGTTGCGCCAGCGGAGGACGCCCGGGATGGCCACCAGGCGGCTGTAGCTGAGCGTGGTGCCGTGCATGATGCCTGTGAGGCACATCAGCTCAATCCATGCAGCCACGCTGAACTTGTCAGTCTTTTCGTCAGTATCTCTCTTGAAGTCTCCACAGCTCCGCAGATAAGTCTTCAGCTTCTTCTCGCTCTCCTGAAATTCCTCGCGGTCGACCTCCTGAAGAGCTTTGACGAACTGACTCGCAAAGTCCGGAATCAGGGCGGCGTGCTCGAAAAACTCGCCAAGGATGCCGTGCTTGTTCCCCCTCTTGATTGACTTGTGGAGCATGCAGTCGAGGAACTCGTCAGCGGAGGCGCACTCGCCCCACTTCTCGAGCAGCGCTCCCAGAATGGGCCGCACCTCCTGCGATGAGCCGAACCCGTCGGCGCCCGTGAGGAACGCGGTGTCCATGCTGTCATCGCTGGGAGGGTCCCTGATCAGCAGCTGGCCGACCTGGATGTACTTGATGGCGACGTTGTCGTCGAACACCTCCGCCCAGCGGTTCATGTCGCGGAAGCCGCGAGTGGACATGGCCATGGCGGAGGTGAACAGGTAGTGGAGCACGTGGATCATGGCGTGGATGCATGAGGAGTAGAAGATCAGATTGTACAGGGCGGAGCTCGCGTAGTCCTTGATTTTGGCGATCTCCTTTGGGTCGCGCGTGTCCCCCTTAACTTCCATCATGATCCTTCCCTCAAGGTCGTCGCAGATCTGGATGGACTTGATCGCCTCCAACCCGTCGGTGAACTTCACATTGACGCGGTGCCCCACGCCGGTGAGAGTCCGCATGAGGCGCAGGTACAGCGAGGGGCTCGACTCGTTCTCGTCGTACGACTTAAGCTCCCAGCCGTCGTTGTATGTCAGCGCGGAGGCGAAGAATGGATTGTTCTTTAGCAACAGCAGCAGCTGCCTCGGGAAGTCGTCGTTCCCGAAGTACTTGTAGTCCTCTGGAAGTTCATCGCCCAGGCTCGCCTTCTGCTTGAAGTACTCCACGGCAAGATTGAGCGACCCCTCTTTTTTCTTCTTGTGCAGCAGCTGGTCAGAAATCAACCCGACGCCGTCAAGACCGAACAGGCCCAGACCGTAAGTGCCAAACAAGTACCCGCCAACCCCCAGAGTCGTGGCGAAGTTCACGTCTGCGATGCGAAGAATCTTCCTCGGCAGGCTCTCCTCCAGCGGAAGGTGGACCCCCTTGATGACTTCAGGAAGCGTCTGCGAGATCGGGAATCTCAGCAGTCCGTTGGCCATCTTCTTCGCTGTCTGGGCGTGTCTACCCTCATAGCGAGCAGCGAAGCCACGGGGTGGCAGAAAGCCCTTGGTAACTAGAACCAAGTTGAACAGAGAAAGCAGCACCACCTTCATCGGGAAGCAATTGGCTGTGCCGAAAACACACGAACATACAAGAGTCTGTTACGCGAGGCAATGATCGCTCCAGGTCGCCCTCAAACTATTGGCTGGTCGACTGGGGTCGCTTTTACCACTGGCCCTTTTCTCTTTTCTTTTCAGGTAGATGCATTCCGAGTAAGGGGCACCCACTGCGTGGGCACCTCGAGCCGCGAATTGAGCGGGGGTCGAAAGCAGCGTGCGAAGTGGTGGTTCAATTATGCGGCACAGAGACGTGCACAGCACGAGTCAAGACACCCCCCATGTTGCCGCTCCTGCTGTGCCCGTGTTGAAGAAGAGGTGCTTCGCCGAGTATATCAATGCATCGCTGGATGCAATTGGATGTGAACCTGCCGATGACTGTCAATCGGCTTGTCAATCAAATGGGAGCCGTCAGGATCAGCCCAAGGATGACCTGCACTAGCAACGCAACAAGCTAAGTGAAATCGGCCACAGCCGCGGCACGTCAGATGAAGCAAACCTCTTGAGTAGCTTCTCTTCGAGTCGAATCTCTTCACACACGGTGGTCGCTCGATGGATGCTGCCGACCTCACTCGACTGCTGGCGCAGCCGGCGTCCGCATTCAAGCCGCCTGAGACGGTCGACGACAGGACCTTCTCTGTTCAGTGGGCGAGCCGTTACCGATTGAACGAAGAGCAGATGCGGGCGTTCCAAATCATCTGCAGCCACTTGCTGAACCACTGCAAAGGCAACCAAAGACAAACTCTTAAACCACACAATCAGGCAAACCGATACGAACGAAGCGAAAAGCACAAGTGCAATCGAAAATAAGGACACACAAGTACACACAAGCAGTCCAAGGCAATCAAACAAGCCGAGGCAAAACTCACAGACACAACACAAGCGGACGAGCACGCTGACATATACGCACACAGACAAGCACCAAATACACACATTGCTGCGCAGGAGACACGCAGCAAAGTGAATACGGCAAGCATCAATCTGCCAGCTCACAGCCCCGAAGCGAGGCCGGTGTGGGGCCTATAAGGCCCGTGACTTATGAAGTCTTCTGGGAAAGCGCTGGCCCTTCGGGGCCCTCTGGCTGCTCACTGCGCGCGGCTAGACACCTGGAAAGCGTTGTACTCCATCAGCTCGACCGACAAGAGCTGGCTCCAATACTTGATCATGCTCTCACGCAAGACTCCATCGTCAGTGGCGGGAATTGTGGCTGAACGGGGTCTCCACTTGGCGAGCATCTGAGGAAATCCATCGTTTTCTCTCCCCACCGGCCGAATGTCCCGCAGCGAGGGGGACGAACCGAAAGCCGGCTGCGCGGGCGGTAGGGCCATATTTGTCGATCTTGTCCTTCTCCGCGAGAGCTGCTGCCTTACCGTGCCGGTTCACCGTCCGGTGGAACGGGATGCGCAGAGTCGTCGGGTCGGCAGGGGTGGGTGATGGTGACATCGAGTAGATAGTCATGGCCGTCGATCACACAGTAGATGTCCATGCGCTGGCTGTTGGGATTGTCGTCGGGTGGGGTAATGCCGAGGCTGTGCAGGGACGCCTCGATGTTAGAGGGGACATCTGCCTCCGCCAGGATGCGGACGACCAGGTTGCGCATATTATTGCGTCTCAAGTTCCGCTCACATCTGGTGTTGGAGAGGAGGTAGTGATCACCATATTGGTCGACCTCACCGCCGCAGATGCATCGCTGCGAGACAGTTATCTACGGGAGGGCACTGCCGTCACACGCAGCTTCTGACACCCCCTCTCGCACTGTGCTGTCCTTCTGCGTCGCATTGCAGCGATCTCCCCCTCTCTCCAGGTATCCGCATTCAGCAGACAGAACCATAACGCAGAAAGCAGCACAGGGCGCATTCAGCGGCGTGTGAGTCTGTGTTTGCGCTGTTTGACCGATCAGGCGCCATCAGCACCTTGTCGTGTGGCTCGTCAGGCACCATCGGTGACCCTTCGTCGTCGAACACAGGATTGTTGAGGAGCTTCATCCTCAGATGAGCGTGCTGCGCCTCATCGGGGCCCTTCGTGAAGATGTCAGCAGTGTTCTCGCTCGAAGCACTCCAGTGGACGCAGAGCTGTCCCTTCAGGACCAGGTCACGCACAAAGTGATATCGCACCAGTATTTGACGTGTTCTCTGCTTGACTTCCTCGCTGTAGGAGACCGACCCAGCGCCTCTGTTGTCTGTGATGAGCTTCGCTCGCTGCACAGGTAGGCGAAAGAAGTCAGCTAGTTGCCTGACAAACACCAGATCTCTGGCGCACTCATTCAGAGCGATGTACTCTGCTTCACAGGTACTCAGAGCAACCAGGGTCTGATTGCGGCTCCTCCACGACACAAGGTTTCCACCCAAGTAGAGGGCAAAGCC